CTAATCCACCACATAATCTGTACCTACACTAGGCAGTATTTTCATTTGCATATATAATTTTATACTCCAAACAAGAGCCAATTCAGCTACCCAGAGTTTAATACAACCAAGACCACACAGACATAAAGATTGGCAGTAATTTACATTCCTCAAAGACGACACACGTTTCAGAGATACTTTTTGCTTCCATCTTTAGAGCGATCGCTACAACCCAGAAGACAGCCATCTTCAAACTCGCCACCGAAAGATCGTGAAATGGTGCTGGTCCATGGATAAGAGTTCTACTTGAAAAGCTGGTAGTCTATCAGCTGATCAAAATATCCCTACTTTCATGCAACCCAAAGGTTGAAAGATTTGAGGTTTTTCACAGCAGTGAGTATGAAGATTTCTGTCTTCTGGGTTGTTACGCTGTGTAGTCTGGTCGAGGTTTACCAACGTTTCAGAGATCATACTGCCTCCGTCATCAGGGCGATGAGTATGAAGATTTCTGTCTTCTGGGTTGTTGCGCTGTGTTGTCTGGTCGATATTTACCAACGTTTCAGAATTTATAAATCTTCAACCCAAAGGTTCATTACTGCGTCCACAAAAGCCCAGCACTGCTAAAGGAGTCATATCCTAATCATAATTTATGAAAGGATATAATGAATCTACTCATGAGACAATTTTTATATCCTCCTGTTATTTTATCCCTTTTGGGTGAGAATATTCTAGTCAGAACTTTGTACTTGGACTCCCTCTATGAAAAGGTAACAGTGACACGGTATTTAAAAAATTCGTCTCAGCGTTGTCACGGATTTATTATTCACTTTTTTTCACATTAGTAATTTTTAATACCGATGTATATTATACTTTGACGCGTGCTAATCTGATACATCAGACCGAAACAAATAGAAGTCATTGCCTGCATGTCGGTAGAACCCAAATCGGTCCGCTTTGAACATCTGTATCACAGAAAGATATTAATTATGCCCAATGTATTAAACGGTCTAAAATTCGATGAGTCTAGTATAATGAAGAACCTAACTATCACTTCATGTGTATTTGCTGTAATATTGCATCCGTAAATAGAATTTATCAGAGCGAATAATCCAACAGAACCGGTTTAGTCAACCTGGAGGACTCAAACTACAATGTGGAACTGACGTAAAGGGACACCACACGCACTGTGCAGTATAGCATGTCACTACACATTTGTAACGAGGAAAAAATTATTTTCGTGTTGGAATGGATAATCAATGTCGCAAACACAAATTAAGTAATGCACACCCAACTCATAAGCCTGCAATAAATTATGTAAGATTTGAGGTTTTCACAGCGGTGAGTATGAAGATTCATCGCCCTGATGACGGAGGCAGTATGACCTCTGAAACGTTGGTTAACATCGACCAGACTACACAGCGCAACAACCCAGAAGACAGAAATCTTCATGCAATAAATTATATTAGGCCTATTGTAAACATCGGTGCTGGGGTTGAACACTCTTGCAAACCTACAGACAGGCATTAACAATACTGCAACAATTATCCATTTTAAAGTTATCCTCCCTTCTCCCTCCAGGAAATCTCTATATGCATTCCTGGTCTACAGCCCATCACAGTCTCTATCCACCTACATTTCATTGTCCTAGACTAGGAGAAGGCATAAATCGCGATGTTCCTCAGTACATACAAGCATGCACGCATCCATGCATACACTCACAGATTCTCATACGCCTTAGACACCTGTAAGTTTCGCGATATGGAGTGTTGTGGGACTCTGAACATTATTTCGGTGCGAACCCAGAGGAAAAGACTGAGAAACACTGTTACGTCTCTGGCCTGGAATGTCTGCAAAATTGAAGGAAGCAGCAGGCCTGCCAACGGACAGGGATGGGTGGCCCGTAGAACTGAACTCGAGGCTCTGAGTGACAGTGTGTTGACATACACATGTTATTCTGCAGTAGCCAGTGTAAGTACTGCTGCTGGCCTTCCTACACCGCGGCCCCAAGACTAATTGGACCATAAATCAAGCCGCCATGTTGTTCAGATAAAGGAGAGTGAGAGAGACCAATAACGACATGCTTATAAGAAAACAGAGGAAGACGGAGATAGGAGATAAAGAAATAAAGAGAAATAAGATACGTTGGAAGCAAGACAGATACAAGTGTGTATCAGAATCTTTGCTGTGTAAGGAGAATCACACCTTTCGAGAGCTGCGCTTTATTTTTAATGGTCTTTCTGTTCGATACAGGTGTGACCTGGCTTCCTTTTATTTTTAAATACGATGCAAGAGAAGGAAATTGCCGGGATAGCTCAGTCAGTATAGTGACTAGCTACGGGCTGGACGACCGGGGTTCGATCCCCGACGGGGGCAGAGGATTTCTCCTCTAGCCTCTGTGTCCAGACCGGCTCTGGGGCCCACCTAGCCTCCTCTACAATGGGTACCGGGGTCCTTTCCCGGGGGTAAAGCCGGCCGGGGCGTGATGCCGACCACTCACCCCCATCTAGTGCCGAGGTCAAGGAAGAGAGGAGCTATACCTCCACTCCCCCCAAGCGCCTACATGGCGTACAGTGGGACAAACTTTACTTTACGTTTTGCAAGAGAAGGAAACGTGGGCAAAGTCATTTAACACATCGGCCGCATTTGGAAGAAAAGAGGGTTCAGGAAAGACATACACAATTATTTGTGTGTCCATGTTTATTAAACAATTAAAGACTTGGTGACAATGAGGCCAACATTTAAGTGAAGCGAATCAGACTAATTACCGGAACCTAACATAAAACAAAATATAGCTCTCCTGCGCGAATGAAGAGAGCAATGCAAGCTATTAATATTATAGAACAAAGAACTTCGTGATGTAACCTACAAACACCTACAAGTTACTCAGGTAGGAAAAGTAAATTCATGAAGCTGTACTGGGGTGGGCATGCTGGAAAGGAAAGGCAGACAAAGAATGCATGAAGAATTTTGATGGAGAAACTTGTAACAGGGAAAAGGAATGAAATGATAAGATGAGTGGCTTTTAGGGAGGTAGGTTGTTTGGAAGAAACAGAACGAGGGGAAATAATAGGGGCAATAGTATAAAAAACGAGTTAAATATAAATTAAAAAGAAGAACAACAGCTTAATAATTTGTGCCTCCGTATTTCTATCGTAAGGCCTGCGTTGTGCTTGGCCACTGGATAGACAAGCGCCACGCTAAAGGGGAGAAAATTTAAAATATACTCAATTAAAATTTTACGACGTCATTTACGACTGTACCGACTCTGCTGTATGGATGTGAGATTTGGATATTACCAAAAATAATTGTTTTAAAATACAGGCAGCAGAAATAAAATTTTTGCGATCTTTAGCAGGACAGAGATTAGCGGTTTATATAAAGAATGATGATTTTACAAAGGAACATATAGGGCACATATAGGAAATACAGGATAATAGAATACATATACAACTGACTATAATATTTTTGGAACAGTTAGTATGACTCAGCTATTCAACGGATTGAACCACAAGTCACGTAGATAAGGAAAGTCGCGAGTATGGGGAGGTAACTTTTAGGGAGGGTTTTTACTGAATTGGAGCAAATTCTGTTCCCATCGTGAAAGCAGTAAAAGAAGGGGTTCTCTATTATGGCCTTAACCCCTGCAACTCTTAGGGGAATCTTTTACTGACCCCTACACACACACACAAGAAGAAATTGCTTTCCGATACGACGGCCTCTGCATCCCGCACAGCTTCTCGAGAAGCCGAGAGAGCAGGCCGGACACATTATGTCTCTCACCCGCTCTCCATTATTGAGGGAGTTCAACCAGCGAGATCAAATAAAAATCAAAGGTTCAAAGAAACTACTATCACATAACACTGGGATGGAAAATTCACTAATGCTTCATACGGCAAGGTTCTTTTTATATTGATGTTTACTCAAGAGAAATTTCTGGGTCTTTCAAGGAACAGTAAACTTGTCCATTATTACCCTTATAGTGGTAAAATAAAACAAATATTGTATTAAAGAGATGTGCCGTGTTCTTAACTAAACAGTATCCAGCGGGATTGTTTTTTGCACTGAGCTACATCATGGATAACGGAAGGGGTTAAGTACCCTCTTATATTTTAAAACATTTATGAATTTTGTCAAAGATGCACGCAGAAGATCGGCGGAATATACATACAAGTAGAATTATTAAATATAACTTGTGTGAAACAGTAAATAAGCATGTGACGTAGCAGATTCATTACAGGTTATTTCAAGAACAAGCCTTACTAAGAACGGATAAGCTAACCAATACAGCATGGCGACGTAAAGAGTCTTTGAGAATATGGCGGGACGAACAGCAGTCTTCCTAGATCATGTGGCTTAGTCTGTGATTTGAAACTGACAATCAGTCAACGTCATTGTTATTTCAAGGATATGCGTGGTTATAATAATGTACCAGAAATGTTGTGACGAAGCTAAGATACAAATTTCCTACCAACAGGAAAAGTTCGCATAAGTTCTTCGCCATTCCTGTTGAAGAACAATGCATTTTATGAGAGGCTGCGAGGTACATAAGCTGATTAGATAAACCGCAGGTACTGTTTTAAGATCCAGAAGTAAAGATGAAGATATTGTACATTCCGTCATTATGAAAAATGTTCAGGTCAATAAGAAACATTTCAGTGATACCGCGTTCTGAATCAAAACGAACCTAGAT